AGACAGACAGACAGACAGACAGACAGACAGACAGACAGAGGTCCACTGTGTAGTCGTCTTACTGTAACTGTTTACATAGGCTGTTCTTCGCAGAGATACATTTGTCCTCTGCCTCTCCAGTGCTGGGATTATAGGCAATGCCAGCAAGTCCCGGTTAAGAACTTCTGTCCCCGGCTATGGTTGCCTCAGAGTGGGACGTGGAGGGGTCAGTTTGGAAGTCTCGGCTTTCCCTTTTCCCTTACGGCCCTCAGAGAGTGTGAGCCACCCCGAAGAGACGAGCCCAGAGGAGCAGCCAGAGGAGGCGGGTGCCGAGGCGGGTGCAGAGGAGGAGCAGCCCCGGGAGGAGGAGGAGGAGGAAGAGGCGGAGGCGGCCGAGTACCTGGCCCAACTGCCTGAACCGCTGCTGCTGCGAGTGCTGGCCGAGCTGCCGGCCCTGGAGCTGGTGCAGGTCTGCCGCCTGGTGTGCCTGCGCTGGAAGGAGCTGGTGGATGGCGCCCCACTGTGGCTGCTCAAGTGTCAGCAGGAGGGGCTGGTGCCTGAGGGCTGCGCCGGTGACGAGCGGGACCACTGGCAACAGTTCTACTTCCTAAGCAAGAGGAGGCGCAACCTGCTGCGTAACCCGTGCGGGGAAGGTGAGGGCCGCATATTGGAGTGCCCATTGTCCCTTCCAGAAAACGGCTCTTGGTGCCAGCCCGCTTCAAGATTAAATGAGATGAAATGCTTGGTGCGATGTCCAGCCCAGAACAGCCGTCTGTTCCCTGGGGAGTCTCTTCCCAGAGTAGACACGCTCAGTGAAATGGGGGTGGGACAGGCCCGTGGACACTAGGTCGGGGGGCAGAGTGAGGAAGTGCCTACAGACCCGTCATTCATCCTCTGCCCACCGAGACCTTGAGAAAGTACTCAGGTCCATTCTGCCTCCCGCGGCCAAGGCAAGAGCCAGCCCTGCCACAGCCTGAAGCAGGGGCTGTGTGACCAGGGTGGGACTGTCCGTGTCCCTACAGAGGACTTGGAGGGCTGGTGCGACGTGGAGCACGGAGGGGACGGCTGGAGGGTGGAGGAACTGCCCGGAGACAGCGGGGTGGAATTTACCCAAGATGACAGCGTTAAGAAGTACTTCGCCTCCTCCTTCGAGTAAGAAGAAGGGGCAAGGGGGTGGGGGAGGAGGAAGCGGGGTGGGGGGCACGGGATCCTGACGCCTGTTCCTCAGGTGGTGTCGCAAAGTGCAGGTCGTCGATCTGCGGGCTGAGGGCTACTGGGAGGAGCTGCTGGACACCACGCAGCCCGCCATCGTGGTGAAGGACTGGTGAGCAGCTGTGGAGGAGGGGTCAGGACTAGAGGGGAAGTGGTGGTGGTGGGACTAGCCGTGTGCCACAGTGTTGTGGCCACAGGTCTGCAAGGGTTGGCAACGGGTAGGAATCTATTTCCTGCCTTGAGTTAAAAATGTTAGCGAATGTGTGTGCATTTGCTCTCGCTTAAGACAAGGCAAGGATACTACCAATAAGTTAAGGCCTGCTTACTCCTTACATGTATACACATATCTGTATATACTCCCATTTCTGTGCGTGTGGCAGTCCCGACAATACGTATCCCCTAGGATGGCTTTGGTTCCAAGGTTGGGTCTGGCACATTTAGTCCCTACGTTTGGCTCTGGGGCCCAGTTCCCTCTTCTCTGTGGCCGCAGCTTCCTTATCTGTGAAATGGGAACACTAGGGAACACTGGCCAGGCATGGATACTGGGCTGGGCAGAGGAGATCTCTGGCAGAGTCCGCTGAGGCCTGCGCCCCGCATTTCCCTGCAGGTACTCGGGCCGCACCGATGCCGGTAGCCTGTACGAGCTCACCGTGAGGCTGTTGTCGGAGCACGAAGATGTCCTCGCGGAGTTCAACACCGGGCAGGTGGCAGTGCCGGAGGATGGCAGCTGGATGGAGGTGATCCTGTAGAGCCAGGGGCGGGGCCGAGGCCGGGACATTCTGGGTGGAAGCTCCGCCCACGGATCTCCAGCGCTAGAGAGGGTGGTCCCGGGCTCCTAGAGACAGCGCCTAGTTCAGCCGGCAATCAGAGCTGGGATGGGGGCGCTGCGCCCGCGTGGGGTGACAGGGACAACTTCAGACCTCTGAGGCTGACGCAATACCCCTTCATCCCCAGATCTCCCACACCTTCACGGACTACGGGCCAGGCGTCCGCTTCGTCCGCTTCGAGCACGGAGGGCAGGACTCGGTCTACTGGAAGGGCTGGTTCGGGGCCCGGGTGACCAACAGTAGTGTGTGGGTGGAACCCTGAGCGACTCCCCTCCCCAGCCGCCCTCTAGGGGCAGAAGCCTGGGGTAGAAAGGCCTTAATTTAGTTGGTAGCATCCTCACCTGCCTCGTCCTCACCTTGCACCTGCCTCTCTCCCGCCCCTTCCTCCAGCCTGGTCCCTGCGGGGAGAGAAGGATTTGTTGCTTTGTTGTGGGATGGCTTCCATTTGCATCTCCACGGGCAGTCGCTTCTAGAATGTACGATCCGAGGGGGTTATGGGGCTGCTGCTGGATCCCGAGCACCTAGCATTGTGCCTGCCTCAAAGTGGGCACTCAATAAATATTTGTCCAAAGAAGGAAATAATGAAAGTGCAGATGAGTGGACATCTCCCCCTCCATCGCTCTGTCTCCCAAGGGCCTCTGGCATGGCCTGGAAAAGTACTTGGTGACAGTCCAGCTGCTCAGGTTTCCAGGGGCTCTTGGGTTGGTATGGGGCCAGCTGGGCCTGGGCAGCCCTGCGGGACAAAGGCTAGGATTGTGAGACCAAGGAGGGGCTGGCTGAGCCTGGCGCCTGAGGACATCCAAGCTGCCCGGAATCCACAACAGGGCTTGGTAAGGGAGTGTGGGGGTGCCTGCCCCCCAGACCCCTCTTGGCCCAGCGGTTAGGCTGTGCCTTGCTGCGTTGTCCCACCCTCTCTGTAGCAGTTTTGTGGTGGCCCCACAAGGTCTGGATGGACATTCTCTTGGGCCTAGAGATGAAGGCTGTGACTGTGTGTGTGTGTGTCTGTATGTCTCTGTGTGTGTGTATCTGTATCTATGTGTGTGTGTGCATCTATGTGTGTGTGTCTGTTTGTGTGTGTGTGTCTATTTGTGCGTGTTTATGTGTGTGTGTCTCTGTGTGTCTGTATCTATGTGTGTGTGTCTGTATCTATGTGTGTGTGTGTCTGTATCTATGTGTGTGTGTGTCTGTGTGTGTGTCTGTATCTATGTGTGTGTGTCTGTTTGTGTGTATTTATGTGTGTCTCTGTATGTGTCTGTATCTGTGTGTCTCTGTGTGTGTCTGTGTGTTTATGTGTGTGTGTGTCTGTATCTATGTGTGTATAGTGTGTGTCTGTATCTATGTGTGTATAGTGTGTGTCTGTATCTATGTGTGTATAGTGTGTGTCTGTATCTATGTGTGTGTGTGTGTGTGTGTGTGTGTGTAGTAGTAGTAGTAGTAGTAGTAGAGGGCAGTGGGAGGAAGAAGCTTGGCTGCTCTCTTTATTCATCCTGCTTCACACTAACCTTCCTGGACAGGACAGGGTTGGTCTAGAAGCTGGTTCCTGGCACCATCCTGGGAGGCAGGCAGTGGGAAGGGTGTGTTGGGCTGTGTGTTTAGGCTACTTGCTTTCTGGCATCCCAACCCCTTCCGAGAACGCTCTGTGACTGACTGGGGTGATGAAAGTTGTCACCATTGTCCCAAGACAGTCATTGTGACCCCAGCTCTGCTTTCATTCTGAGGTTTGATGCCACCTGCTGGTGAGGTGGGACAGCCCCCTGGGCTGGGCGTGCCTGCCTTGGTGTCTTGACTCTGACACCTAGTCCTGCCTCTGAAACTCCAGGGCTGTAACCCACAGCCTATGGGTCTTGAAGTGAACACATTCTGCCCCTCGAAGAATCAGCAGACTGACCACATGCAGTGAATGCTGGTGTGTCTTGGGACCTCCTGTCGGATTACTGCTAAGTCTCTGCCATGAAGCTTTGTCAGCCAGACAGGGGAGACACACTTTGACCCCAGGACTTCCTGGTCTACATGTGTGTGTCTGTCACATGTGTTCCGGTGCCCACAGAAGAAGGCGTTAGATTGACTGGAGTTGGAATCACAGGTGTTTTTGATCTGCCTGACGTGGGTGCTGAAATCTGAACATGGGTCCTCTGGAAAGGCAGCCAGCTTGTGCTCTTAACCTCTGAGCCATCTCTCCAGTTCCCCAACACACCCCAGTCCTTTCTAAGGGAACCCCAAGTCTGTAGGGGAAGGCAGGGTCCACACCCACCTTCATTGCCAATCATGAGGAAGCAATTGGTGGCCTTGGCCCCAGCATAATGGGAGGAAGCATGAACTCATGAGCTCCTGGGCTGAAATGGAAAATAGGTAAGGTGGAGCTTTAGGGCAAAGGATTGGGATGTGCGTGTGGCTTACCTGGCTCAGAGGAGGGAGCCCAAAGCATTGAGGTTGGATTTTCTGCCTCCAGACCAAAATGGGTTCTCAGGGGGCAGAAACTCACAGAAGGGAACCGAGGAGTAGGGTGAAGGGTACCCCATCACGGAGTGACATTTAAATTCAGTAGTTCAGAGAGGCCAGCTGCCTGCCTGAAATGTGGAGGTCGGGGTGGGTGCTGCTGGGGAAGATAGCATGCCTGGGTCATGGGGCACAGGGCACTTGATGTCCACTCAGAGATGAGCAGAGACACCCCCCTCTAATATGAAACAGAATAAGGTGGCAGGCGGCACCCAGAATCAACACAGAAATACAGTCCCCATTGGGGAACTGTGATCCAAGTTCATTCTTAACCCTCACTCCCAAGGGCAGAGGGGAGGGAGCCTGAGGTGGTGGGGGTGGGAGCTCAGATCAGTGTCCCTCAAGGAAAATCCCACATGTCAGCCAGCAGGTGGCACCCAAGGGCTCTCTCTGGGCAGCAGAGCCTCTGAGTCGCCTTAGGTCTCAGGCAGAGATCAGACAGGCAGCCTCTGCTGGAATACGCACTGTGGAGAGAGAAGCATGACCACAGACAACCAAATGGAGGCACCTGCCCACACGAAGCGGCATTCTCTCTACACACCAGGCACCCTTTAAGAGCCTTGCATGTGACACACATTAAGTTATAATAGCCTCATGGCGTGGGCATAATTTCTGTTTATCTGGGCATGGTGGCGTATACCTTTAATCCTAACACTCTGGAGGCCGAGGTAGGTGGATATCTGTGAGTCTGAGGCCAGTCTGGTGTACATAGTGAGTTCCAGACCAGCCAGGGCTACACAGTAAGTCCCCGTCTCAAAACAAACAAACAAAACAAAAAACACCCTTCTACACAAAAGCCCAAATCAAAACTCTAACAAAAAGATAAAATTTAAAGATAATTTTTATTTTCTTTATGTGTATGGTGTATGTCTTTGGTGTGTAAGCCACATGCATGTGTGTCCTGGAGGAGAACACCAGCTCTCCTGGAGCTGAAGTTACCAGTAGTTATGAGCCTCCTGACATGGGTTCTGGAACCTGAACTTGGGTCCTCTGGAAGAACAGCATGTGCTCTTAAGTGCTGACCATCTCTCCAGCCCCTATTATTTCCATTTTTTATGAGTGAGAAAACTGAAGCAGACAAATCAGAAACTTTTTTTGAGGTCACACAGCTCTCTCGTCCTTCTTAGAAGTAGAATTCTACTCAACTAATCAGGCATTTGACCTCTACAGCACTGTCAACAAAACTCGATTGTGGGTGGTAGTGTCACTTGGTCAAGATGATCAGGAGGGATCTCTGTGAAGTGACCTTTGAAGATGATGAAGAAGGCCCAGCCATATGGAGGTCTGGGAGAAGAACATCACAGAAGCGGTGAATGCAAAGGCCCTGGGGTTGGGAATGAACTTACCTACATATTAGAAAAACAGCCAGCGTGCCTGGAGCTGTGGGCACACAGTTTGGCATGAGTGTAGAGATGTAGGTGGTGACCCGGAGAATCTCCTGAGGACTCACCGTGTACCCTGTGCTATGTGGTGTGAATACTCCAGGAAGAGGGGTGAGGTGAGCTTCCTGTAGGGAGAGGAAGTTGCCGGGAATGGGGGATTAGACATCAGCAGCTTATAGTCTTGCCCATGAAATCACATTTTCAGAGGATACTGGATGAGAGGATGGTAACAGTGGTGATGATGCTGATGTCACCAGCAGTATCTGCAGTGACAACAGGTGCATGCTGGGGACTCCTGTTCAGAGCTCAGGTTCATTTCACCCGCTCACTGGCCCCTTCTGGGAGACACCATGCATCATGCGTATCAGTTACTGCTCCGTTGCTATAACAAAATGCCTGACAAAGAGCAACTCAGGGAAAGGAATGGTTTATTATGAGTCACAGTTTGAGGGTTCAGTCCACCAAGGCATGGAGCAATCCAGCATGGAGGCAGGAGGCAGGGAGCATGAGGTGACTGGTAGATGGCATCCACAGTCAGGAAGCAGAGAGAGTCGATTGCAGGTGCTCTGCTTGATTTCGCCTTTCACACTGTCAGGACTCCAAGGCTGTGGGATGGGTCCGTTCAAGTGTAGGATGGGGCCGCCCAGGTGTGGGACGGGGCTGCCCACATTCAGGTCTAGTTGGCAGTGTTAACCATCGCCCCCTCCCATAGGTAGGAGAGGCTGTACGCAGATGTGCTGGTTACTCACGTGGTCAGAGGTCTTTCCAGCTCCTCAGGGATGGTCTAAGTCACCACAGTAGAGAATCAGACATGGATTCCCACTGGAGCTCCAGGGAGGAGCTGGGGCTGAAATGGATGTGTCAGGGATGGTGACTTCAAGGTTCTGGCATGGGACGCACCCCAGGTTGATTGAACGAGTGTTAGGGTTCCGAGACACTTTAATTATGGGAGTCACAGGAAGTAAAATAGATTTCCTTTTACATTCCTAGTGATTGTTTCTGTTTAGCAACTTTGTAATGGAAAAAATCTCTTTTTTAATAATTTATCCTATGTGTGTGGGTGTTTTGCCTGCATGTATGTCCTGATGTCAAGAAGGCCTAAAGAGTGTGTTGCATCCCCTGGAATTGCAGTTACAGATGGTTCTGAGCCTCTATGTGGGTGCTGAGAACTGAACCCAGGTCCTCTGGAAGAGCAGCCCGTGCTCTTAACCGCTGAGCCAAAAACCATTCTCTTTCCTTTTCTAATTTATTTGCCTTGTAAATATGGATTTTGTTGAGGGAAGTAAAGGGCAGTTCCTCTTATGACCACCAGATGGCAGCATCATCAAGGCAGTCCTCAGCCTGGCAGCCCCAGAGATGGGATTTGAATCCAAAGCCCAGGCAGACTTCTGGTTGAGGGCTGAGTCTCCCTCCTCAAGGGCTGTGCTTTGAAGAGGCTAACCCAGGGGATATCTCCATGAAACCCTCCCCCTCTCTTTTAGATAGGCTCTTGTGTATCCCAGGCTGGCCCAAGGCTGACTTTGAATGTCTGCTTCTCCTGGGTCCACCCTCTGGATCGTGGGATTCCCGGTGTGCCACCATGCCCGGTTTAGGTGGGACCGAAGCCAGGGCTTCACTGGGAAAGCAGTCTACCAACTGAGCTATTTCTGAGTCCGGGTCATCGGAGGCCCAAGTCCCACAGGAGCTACAGATCCAG